GTCGTCGGTGTAGAAGGCTGTGGTGTAGAAGGCTGTTGTGTAGCATAAGATTATTTACGTGCTCTTCAATATTCAGTTGGGGTCATTTGGTTTGGTTTCGCGACGCGTAAATAATTCCGTTTTGAATGTTGAGTGAAGTGTCTCTTTTTTTTGGCCACCCCTGTGTATATATAAGTGAATATACATATAACGTTCCATGACCATTGTAGAAGACGCCATTCTGAAGAAAGAATCACCAGATGTACCCGGCGCTTTCTTGCAGAACTTTTTAGAACTAAGATGGGCAGTATGTACTCCGAAAAAAAAGGAACAATACAAACTCAGTAAATACGCTGCTTTGGATACACTCAGAAGCAATGCTAAAGATATCATCCCTACGGAATATATTCAAGGTCCTCCAGGTAAGCGACACAGTGCCACAAGGAGGGTTGTCGGTTACGCACAAGGATGCCAACGGGGCCATGCCGAAGGGGCGACAAAACTCATGGAGAGTCGGAGCCGATGTCAGATGGCAGTAGTGGACCAGGTCTTCGTTGTTCCTGCTGTTTCATTCCAACACATCTATTTGGAGCATGTCTTTACCGAATTTAGGCCAACTCTTTAATGTCTGAATATCCTAAAAAAGTTAGATATGGATGTAGTTATCCTTAGCTATTTTTTACTTGTTGCTAAGTTCAATGGTTTGGATCTGGTCTTTTTACGCACTATCTTAATGTTCGACGGCATGTCTGTTCGACGTACTAAACAATAAACAATAAACAATAAACAATTAACAATTATGTCAATAATAACTGTTCGAGTTGTTTCCCTGAATGTATAATATTTTCCGGTCAGTATCACCACATTCCTTCAGCTCGATATTTATTGAAAGGGTGGCCACAAATAGACGGCCTCAAAACCATGAGCATGCCACCGATCCCGTCTTCTCCCTTCCTCAGAAAATTGCTTCAGACACCTTCTTTTTGAGATGCAAATGGTGTAGCAACAATTAGCGCCGCTTACAGTGCATTCAAATTGTTGCACCCTCAAACGCATCGAACGCATAAATAAAAAAAATAAGTAAACAAGGGTACACGGTACTGGGATCAAATCCTCAAAATCCCTGGAAAATAATCCCATTCCCCAAAGTCCACTCCATGATCCCGGGCTCATCTATTGGACGAAAATATCAAAATTCTCACGTTTCACAAAAGGCGATTCCGGAAGTTCTCGTGTGGGATCAGATCGAATTGGAATTCTACCGACTCCAAATGAAAATAGAATGCATGGCGCATCCCAGAAAATCTTATGCACTTTCATTTTGACGTAAGAGCTCTTTTAACATAATCATTCCTTTGGTAACCTTCCATCTCTCCGAGGTCGTCTTAATGCCGCGTTTGTATCGTTTGATTTTGTGCGGCGATTGCTAAAGTGACATGGTTCGAAAATGTCTTAAAATTACCCTTTATCCTTATAGAGGAACAATCATTCGTCGAGCCTTACGCCTGTTTTCTAGTATGTTTCCCCTCTGCCCTTCCACACAAATCTTTCTCTTTTAGCTTCACATTACTACTGTGATTTTTTTCTAATTGTGCCGAAGTTTGAGAGGATTGTATTATGTTCAAGAAAAAATGTAAGTTTGTAGAAAGTGGACTCGAAGTCTTTCCTAGGGGAAGTATAGTCACTTCAAAAAGACCGCTTGTGAATTCCACTGGCATTCAGGCGGGTTAACAATGGCATGACCTCTATGCACTTTATCCACTCTGGTGGACAGATATGTCGTCCTTGAAAGGTGGCGGCGCTTGCTTCGTTAGTGACTAGCGACCCTGACGAGCTGCCTATGGGGAAAGCCGTCAGGGTGACAGCTACAGAGGCCTAAACGGCCATGCCGCCAGCAGGCTGGCACATTCCAATACGGACTCTCAACTTCATAGAAGACCAGTAATTCTTGGCTGCATGATCTTTTAGTATATATGCTGTCAGAAAAGGCAGTGCGCTCTTCCTCGCTCAGTTTCAACCTTTTTCCCTGAGAATTTCTCATGGCGTTTTGCAACCACCCCCGCTCACCGTAGAATTTGTCCTATGAAGAATTGTGTCTTTGTGAACCTCAGTAGGGATTCATTTCCTCGGTAACTTGTCGGACTTCTTAGGATAACCTTATTTTCATGCTATTTTCTATTTCAGACACCGCTTCTATGATTCCAGACGCTATCAACGTCCGATGCTATTGCAGTCCTTGCTGTTCGAGATGTGTCGTCCTCCCAGGTAAATATAGATAACAACATCTACAAGCGATGGTCCATGTATGTCGGTATCGTACACACTTGCTATCTAATCATTTGCTACAGTAACCATGCTCCTTCAAAGGTCATCATCGTGCTCATTATCTAATCGTATTCGCTCACTTCTGGCGCTTTTCCCTCGAATGATTGAAACTTTTTTATCACTCACTATCATTCACCAACGAGCATTGATTGATTAGAATTCTTTGTTTGATTTGTTTATCGATTACAGATATCATGTGTGACGCCACATACCAAATCGACCACGGCTTCGCGAATGTTCCTCCAGGTGCGTATGCTCTTCTGTGGGCCATTTGTCCACTGATCGGATCCTGAGTAAAGCTCAATAAAATGAGAGAGAGAGTAAAAATTAAAAGGAGGGCACTGTTGTCCTGAAGACAACATTTTGCTACAACAGCTCCAGCTAGTTGGGAGGGTCTTAACTGCGCACATGGAGAGCTCTCACCTCGTGTTGAGATTTCCGTAAGGGCTCTCAAGACCAGGCCAAAAAGAAGATTATTTCTAGAGAAAATGAGTTTCGCTCAGGTTCCCAGGCGTCTCCCACCCCACTCCCCCCTCCCCTGAGGCCTAGTTCTGAGAAGTGTTACCGTATTCGCCCCCCCCCCCACACCCCCACTGCTCTCTCATCAACCATTATACATGTGGTCCACAAGGTTGATATTACTAATTTTCAATGTTTACGGCACTTTTCGTGGCTTTAATGAATTGAGTACACCCTAGCAAAGTGCTCGCCTAAGGGCAATCGTCACAGAGGGACAAAGGGAGAAAGAAAGGGCGCTATCACAAGATACGGGGACATCCTTTGGACTGGACGGGCAGGAAACTAGAAATTACTCCCGCACCTGGAGGTCTATCCTCCCCCGCCTAAGGCTTACTTCCTTTTCTCAGGAAATAGGAGATGCTTCACGCGATTCAAAATGCAGTGTTACCACAATGCCCCTGAATCTTGCGATAGCGCCAAAATTCGTCCTCGTTTGTTCTCGAAGCTCCATAAATGCTTTCGATTTCAGAATCGTACGAGTTTCGCCATGCAGATGTCGAAATGGACTTGTTGATGCGGACACTGCACGAAAACCCAGATTTCTTTGGTAAGAGGGACCTTTTCACTCATAAAACCATGCATTAGGATAGAGCATAGTAGTGTTCGTGGAACTCAGGTACTTAACTTACCATACCGGCTTAAACATGCCATTTCTGATAACTTTTTTTCGGCGATGGAAGCGGATGAAAGCAACTCGTGGATGGGTTGGCATGCCACGATTACGGTATAAAAACGTTTCTTCGGTTCAGATCCAGCAGGTTTTCCCACTCTCCCGCTGCCAATGACTACACTGCAAGGCGGCTATGAAGAAGACTTCGGAGCAAATGAGCAACCGCGAATGTTCGACACGGAGTTCTACGAGCCAAAGTATGAGTGAGTTTCTGAGATGCTTGAACTAGTAAGCAAT